GAATCGCGGCTTGACAGTCCCAGGGTCCGGTAAAAGCCCCCAGAGGCAGCAAAAAGAGTGGACAAAAACTCCCGATGCGCATGATTCACGACGCGAGCATGTCTGGGGTCCACATTATCTCTCCCCCCTGCGCCGAAGTCGGGTCTCTACGCGACGCCTCGGGCGAACGCGCGATCAGAAGTGTCGGACATTACAGGGGCTCTGCGGATGAACGACAGCGGGAAGCAGAAATCACGAAACCAAAACAGACTGCCGACACCAAAGCCTGGCCTCGAGCTCGATCAATAGGGGCGAGAGAGGCGGGGGAGGAGGAGGAGGAGGAGGAGGAGGAGGAGGAGGAGGAGGAGGAGGAGGAGGAGGAGGAGACGAGGAGGAGGAGGGGTAAGGAGCCAGGAGCACGAGGGGGAGGAGGAGGAGGAGGAGGCAGGCGGCTGCGGCGCCAGGCCGCGGCTCGGGCGGAGGCGCCCCGAGCCCCGGATTCCCGGGCCCTTCGGCTCTCGGCCCTCGGCCCTGGGGCCTCGGGCCTCCAGCCTCGAGCGTCGGCACCCAGACCTCCCGACCCCATGAATACCAGAAGGGGGGTGAGGAGGAGGAGGAGGAGGAGGAGGAGGAGGAGGAGGAGGAGGAGGAGGAGGAGGGGGAGGGGGAGGAGGAGGAGGGAGGGAGGAGGAGGAGAGGAGGAGAGGAGGAGGAGGAGGAGGAGGAGGGGGAGGAGGATGCCACCCCCACCGGACAAGTGGCATTTACCCAACGGCCCTGGGCGTTGACTGCACAGCCCTGCCCTGTTCGTTGCCTTCTCTGGGCGCGTGTACTGAACGACTGCGCGTGTCGGGGTGGTTATGATGGGGGTGGATTGTTTTTCTGGCCTCTAGAAAGGGGGCCCAGGGAGACACGGACAGAAGGACAGAACGTCCAGGGTTCCAAGGCTCCCAGGAAGGGAGACATGCAAATTCTGGATAACTTGCCTTCTCCTCCACGCCCCACAACTTGTTCAGATGTGCTCGCGCGAATATACGATTGCATGCGTCTGTGGCGATCTTTCCCTCCTGAGATCCTGGCGTCGCAGTTCTTTGCAATCGGGCGCTGTCGCATGATATTTCGGACCCTGGGGGCCTCACACATCGATCTGGCTCGAGGAATGCCGCAGGAAGATGAGGTCCTGGGCTCCGGTCGTGACTTCCGCTGTGCGGCCATTCTCCAGCGTCGTCGGATCTCAGGGATCGTCGATCCTCGATGCTCGACCCTCGAACCTCGACCCGCGGTCCTCGAGACCTCGATCCTCTGGGCCTCCACGAGGCCATCGCTGGCCGATGAGGCGGCCTGCCCCCCCCCCCTTGCTCGGCGCAAAGCATGGCCTCAGGCAGGTGCACGGCCCAGGGGGGGCCAAGGGACGCATGGAAATAAAACAGAGGGGGTCGTGAAATTAGACGAAGAAAAATCACCCGAAACAGAAACTTCTAGCGCTCCCCGCGGATCCAAGAAATCCGCGCGGAGCGCCAAAAGTTTATGTTATGTTCGTGGCGTTTTTACCTCTTCGAGACATCCGAGGAGATCCGGTCAGGAATTTCTGCTCAGCGCGTCGCGGCAAGCGGCCCCGGCGATGCGCCGTACGCCTTACGAGTGGACAGCGTGCCGCTCCGCTCCCCGGGGCGAGAGGCTCGGGGGAGGCTCGGGACGTCGACGTCTGGGAGCGGAGACGTGGGTGGCGTGACGCGCCGAGGCGTGGGAGGCCAGAGCTGGCGGAGCGGCACGCCATCCAAAAGTTCCCGACCGCATGCAGGGGAACACACGAGGACGTAAGCATCAGAACTCGACAAGGTCCCCGCCGATTCCTCGGATCGGCGCTGGGTGCACCCGGCAGCGCCTCCAGCGCAGCCGGGTGCACCGGATAGCGTATAGCGGAGCGCCAGAGAGCCTTTGAAAGGCCGCTGGAAGGAGCCTTGAAAGCTCTTGGAGAGAGCTTCCGAAGGAGCTTCTGGAGAGCTTCCTGGTACACGCATTGGGAAACAATGAGAGAAGGCCTCCGGGACAAGCTGCAATTTCACAGGAGTTGCTGCGAGGCGTCGTGCAGGAAGCTGCTGGCTTCGAATCTGAAACCCTCCTAGCTCTTAGAGAGCTATCAAGGAATCACCCTCCTCTCGGCCGCCCACCCTTAGGTCGCGCATGTCCCTCTACAGGCGGACTTCGGACGAAAAAAAAATCAACAAAATACAAAAAAAACAATGATCAAAAATCGCCCCCAGACTCTGCTTTACTATTTTTGAATATTCCTCCTGTAGAGGGACAGGCCCGACTTAAGCCCACCCCTCCTGCCCGCCCTCGCCGCCCACGCGCCCCCGCGCCCCCGCGGCCTGCTCGGTGAGCCGCGTGGCGCACGACGCGCTCGAGGGCCTCCTCCCCGCCGGCCAGAGAAGCGCCGACGGGCCTCGGGCTCGTCTCTCGCCTTCCCCGAGATCCTGGTGTCGCAACTGGTTCGGGTCGGGCGTTTTCGCATCCTTTCGGGCCCTCACGGATCGATACGGCTCGAGAAATGCTGCAGAGAGATAGGATCCAGGGCTCTGGTAGCGATTTGTCACGATGAAGCAGTTTTCTCGCGCAGTCGGATCTGAAGGCTTTCCTCCCTTCTTCCTTCCTCCCCCTCCTCCTGGTCCTCCTCCTCCTCCTCCTCCTCCTGTCGCTGACGCCGATCGCATTAGATTCGAGGACACGGTGCTGCCCACCTCCTCCTCCTCCTCCTCCTCCCTCCTCCCTCCTCCCTCCTCCCTCCTCCCTCCTCCCTCCTCCCTCCTACCTCCTCCTCCCTCCTCCTCCTCCCTCCTCCCTCCTCCCTCCTCCTTCCCCTCCCTCCTCCTCCCTCCTCTCCTCCCTCCTCCCTCCTCCTCCTCCTCCTCCTTCCTCCTCCTCCTCCTCCTCCTCCTCCTCCTCCTCCTCCTCCTCCTCCTCCTCCTCCTCCCTCCCTCCTCCCTCCCTCCCTCCCTCCCTCCCTCCCTCCCTCCCTCCCTCCCTCCCTCCCTCCCTCCTCCGTCCTCCTCCTCCTCCTCCTCCCCTCCTCCTTCTCCTCCTCCTCCTCCTCCTCCTCCTCATCCTCATCCTCATCCTCCTCCTCCTCCTGCGCATTCTCCTCCTCTGCTTCTCCCCATCTGCCCTCCAAAGAAACGATCCCCCGTGAGGGGCGCATGCTGACCAGCATCTTGAAAGAAGTCCAGCCGTGGCGACGAGAGACCCCTGGAGGGTCCTGAAAGGCACAACAACTCATCAACAGCATCGATACTCAAGCGTCGATCGTCGAAGCTCAAACCTTCCCAGACTTCCGACGGATTGAGACATGTAAATCCGCGGGCCCTGGGAGAACGCGACCCCTGGTCCGCAAGCAGGCTTTCGTCCCGGATTAGTGCTTGATGGCCCCCGGGCCAGACAACGGCCCCCAGGCCCTGAGATCCGACGACGCGACAAAAAGGCATCGCGATAAATCAAGGAACATGCCCCAGACCCCCCCTTCCTGCGCCATTTCTCGAGCCACATCGACATGCAGGATCCTGCAAGCTCCAGCGCTCTGGCTGACCCCCGTTTGCTTTAGGTCGCGCATGTCCTCCTATGGATAGGGTATGAAAAATAAAGACTAGCCAAACAATGCCCCAAAAATTCAAAAAACAACAACAACAAAAACTGAAAATCATCCCCAGACTATTTTGTACTGTTTTTGAATGCTCCTCCTGTGGACAAGAGACTTGCCCGACTTACCGCTTGCGTTCAACCCCGTCTCAAGGCTCCCGAGAGTTCGCTCAGAAGCCTCCACCGGGGCCAACCCGTCCCCATGGAGGGCCAACACCCTCGTCTCAAGGCTCCCACTGAGTTCGCTCCAAAGCCTCCGCCAGGGCCGCCCCGCCCCTTCGCTCAGCAGCCTCCCCCCGGGGCCGCCCCGCCACTGCGAGGGACAACGACGAGAGGCAGGGACCCGGCTCACTCCGGGCAGGCAACCACCGACCCGGACGCGGCGACACCTCGCCGACGGATCGGCGAGAGGCTCTCCTGACAGGGGAGCCCGCACGCTCCGGAGCCGGGGGTGGGCTACCCTGACCTTCCAGGGTGCTGAACAATAGCACTCCAGACCTATAGATCTATCTGGACTGCCTCAAACCTCGACAGGAATTAGGACGTCGATGTCCTGGTGCTATTTGTTTGCCCTCCTGGAAGGTCAGGGTATCGGGCCCCTACTCCTAGGTCGGGCATGTCCCCCTATAGGCGGATTCGGGACGCGGAAAAAAAACAAGTAACAATCAAAAGGCTTAAAAGTCTTAACAAATCGTCTCCTGACTGTGCTTCTACTAGTTTTGTATAGTCCTCCTGTAGAGGGACGTGCCCGACCCAACCCTACTCTGGGTTTCTTAATAAGCGTGGGGAGGTACCCCCCCCCGACGGCCGCCGACCTTCCGCCGAGGCGAAGATGGCAGCTCCTTCGCTCCGCGAGGGCAGAGCCCTGTCCAGAACGCCCAATTTGCCGACGAGGCGCACCGATTCTGCACAGAAGCGAGACCCGTCGCCAGATCAACGCTCTCTTATTCGGCGCTTCGACACTGGGCGGAAGGGGGGGGAGGGGGGGGGGTCTGGCTCCGCTCCGGACCTCTGCTTAACACGACTGTTTGCAACAGCGCGTCCTGTGGAGGAGACTCCACCTACTTGAAACAGGCGCCCAAAACCGCCACGATCTACTCCATGGGGGGGCGAGGGGAGGTTGCGAGGGCCCGCGCCGATCGGCAAAACAATGAATATGAAAACGATGACTTGTCAGATCACAAGCTGTCATCGACATAACGCAGCAGGCATAGCATTCGTCACACTCCCTCGCACGCTCCCACTAATCCGCGCATCGCTGATCCATCTTTGCCACTCCTTGGACAAAGAGCCTCCCCCCCTGGCCGCCTCCCCCCTCGTCCTCACCGCCGTCGCGGCCGCCACCGTCCTCATCGCCGGCGTCGGCGTCGCCGTCGCCGCCAGCGACGTCGTCGCCACCGTCGTCATCGTCGTTGCCGTCGTCGTCGTCGCCGTCGTCGTCGGCGCCGTCGTCGTCGGCGCTCGCTCGCCAGCCCGGGGCTCCTCGCGAAGACGGGCCGCGGGTCCACCAGGGCGGCGTCGTCCTGCCAGCAGGGGCGGGCGGGGAGGAGGCCCTGGCAGGGTAGCCCAGAGAGCGGATCAGAAGATCGAGGTGGTCATCCCCCTGCTTAGGGTTGAAGAAGTCTTTGAGCCGCGGGAAGGATGGACTTCATTCCATGCGCTTTCTCGGACAGCAGCCCAGGTCCAGATGTACGAGACTTCAACGAAAAAACGAGCTCCAAGATAACGCCCTGGGTCCAGTCCAGATTCTTGGTTTTGACTGAAGACTTCTGATGGGTGTACGTCGAATCGGCCGAAATCGGCAGGCAAACCAAAGGGCACCGGAATTGATGTGTGCCGGCCCAAACCGAAACATTAGAGAAGAAATCCAAACCGACATCGAATCGAGAGTCGAACCGAATCGAAGCCGGAATCCTCGACACCGAATCGAGTCGCATCCACAGAACCGAAACGGCTCCCGCCCTGGGAGGGGCTTGTTGAGGACAGAAGCCCCGCAGTCGCGGCCGACGACAACGACAACGACGACCCTGAGATCCTGGCGTCGCAAGTTTTCCGAGCTTGGCGTTTCGCTAAATTTTGGGCCCTGGGACCCTCACAGGTCGACCTGGCTTTACAACATGCTGTGGAGAGACGGGGTCAAGATTTTTCACGGTGTTACGTTTGTGTTTGCAACGTCGGAGGCCACAAACGGACGACATATTCTAAGAACACTCCGTGCAATTCACACTTGGTGAGCCGAAAGAGAAGTCAGGGCGCTGCGCCACTGCTTCAACGACGACGACAAAGAAGAAAGAAGAAGAGGAAGAAGAAGACAGCGGCGGCGGCGACGACGACGACGACGACTACGACCACGACGACGACGACAATGACGACGACGATGACGACGACGTCGACGACGACGACGCCGACGCCGACGACGACGACGCCGACGACGACGACGACGACGACGACGACGCCCGGCGTCCCCAGAGGCTGCTGCAGCGCGCGCGGCGCGCAGCTGCGCCGCCATGACGCCCCGCATGGGCGGCAAAGGGCGGCGCCGCGCGGCGGCAGTGGGCCGCCGCGCCGGCCAGGGGGGGCGGCGGTCCCGGCGCGCCTTGCGCGGCCCCTGCCGTGCCCCTGCCTGGATTAACCAAGAAAGAAAAGCGGAGGAGGAGGAGCAGGAGGAGATGGGAGGAGGAGGAGGAGGAGGAGGAGGAGGAGGAGGAGGAGGGAGGAGGAGGAGGAGGAGGAGGAGGAGGAGGAGGAGAGGAGGAGGAGGAGGAGGAGGAGGAGGAGGAGGAGGAGGAGGAGGAGGAGGAGGAGGAGGAGGAGGAGGAGGAGAGGAGGAGGAGGAGGAGGAGGAGGAGGAGGAGGAGGAGGAGGAGGAGAAGGAGGAGGAGGAGGGGTGCACCTTCCTTGATTAACCAAAAAAGGACCCCTAACCCTTTGGGAAGGGACCTAAGTTAGGAGAGCCAAGACGTTACAGTCGGACTTGACTGAAGAGGGTACGCGAGAGGACACAAGACCCTTCCGAGGGCCACGTTGCCATAGGAATGCAGAAGGCATTGGTCGCGAAACACAGGACGCGAGGGTACCCTCGATTCGGCAGGGTCGAGCTACTAATCGGAGCCGACTGTAGCGATAGCGGGTCTTTTCTGACGATGTACCGAACCAAACCGCCCAAGAATTATGATCCCTGATGCGGAGACGGGGACCTCAGTGAGGCCACGTCTTCACTGTGTTAGTAGGGTTCAGGGTTGTGTTACTCTCGACGTTTCCTCGTGAGAAGTAATGGCGTATTTAGGGTCGACGCCGCGCCGACGCCGTCGCTGCCGACGCCCTCGACGACGCCAACAACGCCCACGACGCCGACGCCGACGCCCCCGCGGACGCCCACAAAAGCCGGGCCGACGCCGTTGCTGCCGACGCCGACGCCTTCGACGACGCCCACGTTCGCAACGTCGGATCTCAGGGCTCGTGGCAGACGACGACGACGACGACGACGACAATGATGAAGAGAATGTATATATATATATATAGATGTATAAACAAATAGAAGCAGCAGCTGTGGAGGTCCTCGCCGATTCCTCGGATCTGCGCTGCACCCCGCCTCCCCGGCGCGCGAAGCGCCAGGGGCGGCGCCCAAGGGGCCGCCGGAGGGGGGCCCCGCTCGCCGACGGGCCCGGCTCGGGAACGCTTGCTCATAGCGTATCGCGGCGGCGGCCCTGGCGACCCGCTGCGCCCGGAAAGCGGACCGCGTGTCGCTCCGCTCCGCGGGCCGATGGGCTCGGAAAGGCTCGGGGCGTTGGCGCTCGGTGGCGGGGCTGAGGACAACGCGTCGCTCCGAAGCGGGGCTCGTAAGAGGAAAAGGCACCCATATCGCTGCCCTTCGGCCGTTTCCCCTGTTGTCTGGCTTCCCGGGAGAACCTCGTCGCCTCCGCTGGATTCGCCTCGAAAACCTGATCAGAACGCACCCCGGGCGAGGCCCGGGGAGTAGCGATATCGGTACCTGGTGGGTTTCCCAGTGATGGGCCAGAACCGGCGGACCGACACGCGATCCAAGGGTTCCCAGCACCAGGACTGGTGGCCATACCAACCACGGGGAACGCTGGCCTGCCCCGTGCGGCGTCGCCCAGAGCGACTCCTCCGACGGGAGGACGATCGAAGATCGACACCGCGCCTCGGGAGAGGCCACCGCGGCGCGGTGCACACGGGTCGCCCGCGGAACCGCAGAGGCACAGACCTGGAGTAGCCTTGGGAACGGGGCCTCAAGTTTTCTGGCGGCCGCTGGACCTGGCTCGGCGGCGAGCCCGGGGAGGGAGGGAGAAGGGGCGGGCCTTCTCAGGAAGTCCCCCGGCCCTCTGAGAAGCTATCTGGGCCTTCACCGGAGGCACAGAACACTTCTCAGCAGAAGGCTGGGGCGCTTCTGAGAAGTCCCGCCGCCTTCTGAGAAGGCCCTCTCCTTCTCACTTCCCCTCCGCGCTCGCCGCCGACAGGCGCTTGACGGTGCATCTCGCGTGCTATCGCTTGTGCCGCGTGCACTGCTTGTCCAAGAAGAGCGCGTTGCGTCTGGCCGCGAAGAGCCGAGACCAGCCCGGCGGCCAGGCCGAGACCCGCTGCACACAGCAGATGTCGTACCCCGCCCCCAGCCCTATCGCCACCTCGCGTCCGACCGGACCCTCCGACGAGCGCCAAGCAAGGGTGAGGAGGAACTGCAGCACCACACCATTAGGAAGCAACTACTGGGAGATCTTCGCCAGAAGAACTAGGGAGAGTTAAGCCCCATTGAGGAGCTGCAGCGCAGGAGTAGGACGCGGATGAAACGAGATTAAGCGGGATTACGCCGGATTAGCGGGATTAAGCGGGATTAAACCGGATCTCGGACCAGGGCAAAGTCAGAACTGGACCTTCCAGGAGTTGCATCCGAAATACCACCTCCGCAGCACCGCACTCCACTCCTAGGGAGGAAGGGGGTTCGGCGCGAGGGGGAGAGTGCCTAATTCCAGGATTGATTATTCCTCCCCCCTTCTCCTCGTCCCCTCGCCTTCCCTCACTCCTCCTCCTCCTCCTCCTCCTTCTCCTCCTCTCCTCCTTCTTGGGGGGGGAGGACCCTGGGTCATTGATACCGGTCCTGAGCCCGGGCTGGGCCTGGCCATGATCGGTGAGGTGGATGCTCGACGTCTCCTGGTCTGGCCCAGAATCACAGCCAAAGAACCAAGGCCTCCAGCCACGAAGGACGGAATCTGAAGCTCGAGAACTCTTCGAATTGCACTTTAGCCTGGCGAAGGGCCCAAACCTATGCAGCTGCGCGAAGCACGGGGCGCGGCTCTCCCCATATGATGCGCGCCGCGGCAGTGAGGGAGTTCTGGGCAGTGCGGAGAAGGGGTTGCGGATCAGGCGAGCAGAATCGCGCTGCGCTCCCTATGCGGCACGATCCGTGGAAAGGGTTTGCCGGACGGGGCGCGGAGACGCTATAGGAAAGCCCTAACGTGGGCCCTATGGGGCACGACACATGCCAGGTGTGTGCCGAGATGGGCGCGATAACGCTATGCCAATGCCCCACCTTGGGCCCGTAGGTGGAGCGCCCCAAGGGGCACGATCCGTGCAAGGTCTATGTGCCGCACTGAGGCGCGGAGACGCTATAGGAACGCCGCCGCTGGGGCTGTAGGTAGAACTCCCCATAGGGGCAAGATCCGTAGGGGTGTGCCGAAATAGACGCGGAGACGCTATGAGGACGCCCCCGCTGGGGCTGTGGGTGGAGGTCCCTATGGGGGCGCGATCCGCGTGAGGGGTGTGCCGCAATTGGCGCCAAGACGCTGTAAGAATGCCCCCGCTGGGGCCTTAGGTGGAGTTCCCGATGGGGCACAGTCTGTTTCAGGAGATTGCCGAAATCGACATGCGAAGAGCAGAGGCGGGAAGGGAAGGGGGGAGGGGGAGGAGCATGAAGCAGGAGACAAAACACGCTGCGGAGCGAATGCGAGGGCCCAACAACACAGGAGGGTTGGGACAAACCAATAAGATATGTGCCATACAACTATGATTTCCTCCAGCACGAGCCATGAAAGCCCAGGGCACGCAGAATCCTAGCTTGGACAAGGGCGAGGCTGTATTTTCTGAAGAGAGCGAGCTTCAACTGAGTAGCCAGGGCAAGTTGGACCCGACCAACCGGTCGACCCAGTGAGTTCAGATACCCTGAGGAAGCGCGTAAAGCCGGGGTCCCCGACAGCGTTCGGACCCATGGGAGTGACGGCTTGGGTCGGGATTCCCTGGCTACATCTGATGACCGTCCTACTCAACTCGAACAAACACTTGCCGCGCCGTCCAGAACTGGCTCACACCTCTGTATAAAGCCCCAGAAAACCGCTGTACGAGCTTGGCACCGCCCTGCCTGATCTAGCTCACCATGGCGATAGCTGATGGTAGTTGCTTGGTTTGCGCTGGCACATCCAACAACGCTGTACCTGCGCTTACTGGGTTGACTCTGCCACATCCACATACGCAACAAAGCCGTCATTGTGTTTCCTTCTGCGGCAGCCGGATCCTCGACTACTGGCTGATTCAATCAAACAGGGACGAACGAACTCGCAAGACGAATGGCGAGTGTCACGCGCTCGGTGCACGCCAAAGTAGACAAAGGTCCACAGTTGGTCATCCCGTTGCGCAAAGTATTGTCTAGGACAACGTAGTATCAGAGCTATCATCATATTCGATTGGTTCGCGTTGGTCTTCAAACCATCCTAATGAGGTAACCCTCTGTTTATATTCGCGCGTCTGCTCCAGATATAAGCGCGTACTGCTGGTTGTGAATCGCCCTAGTGGATACGAGCGGTAAGATGAGGATATTCGGGTGGTGATGCGCGGTGCCATTAGTAGCCGTTCGAAATCTAATACAGAAAAGCCGCAACTATCACAATCAAGAAGCAAATCGGTATCGCACCGAGCCGTGTATTCCAGCATCTCCTGCACAATAGCAGGGCTCTGGTAAAAGTGAGCGGACGAATCGTCAATGGACTCCATAAGAATTCGTTTTGGGATACAGAATTGAAATACAGCTTGTAAAGATTTAACCGTGAGACCAGTTACTTCAACAAAAGATCCGCCACCGTGCCGTGGGCACGGAATGGAGTGTCCTCAGGCCGTGAGTCTTCCATACTGGGCACTGTCTGAATGACGGGGCCGAACGATACTGCACTGTCCCTCGGCGCGTGGCTCAAAGGCTTTGAAGGGGCTTCCACGGTGCGGATTGGCATTGTTCTTCTTGTTCGTATCGTCATCGCCCACCCAGCAACCCACCCGCGACCTACCCCGTGACGCACCAACTACCCACACCGCGACCCACCCCGTGACCATTTCGCACCCCGCCCGCGACCCACACCTGCGAACTGTCGTGACCCACCACAGCGACCAGAATCTGCCACCCACCCGCCACCCGCCTACACGGTCTCCTGAAAAATTGCCGATTGGGCGTCGTCGCGTGGAATTTGCAAAAATCCTCAGGAACGTGGGTGAGAGAGTTCACATATCCCGCGTGTCTTAAGAAGACTTACCGATTTGTGCCTCTGTTCGGCCGTCCTGTGTGCTGGCTCGAGGAGCCAAATTCAAGGAATACGTCGTTTGCAAAATCTTGGTTTGCATATTCTAGATTTCGGTTACATGGCTATGCTGAACGGCATCAGATCGCCCCTCAAATTGTCACAAAACGGCCACCAAGCCCAACAAGATACCTAGCGGCCCTCACGACGGCCCCAACTGGGACCCCATTGTCTCCGAGACCGCCAAGAGGCGCCCAAGAGGTCCTCAAAGGCCCCCAGGAGGCGCCCAAGAGACCCCAAGATACCCTCAAGATACCACCCTGAGGTCTCAAGAAATCTCGTACGAGGCATTCAAAAGGCACCCAAGGTCACTCCAAGAGGCTTCTGATCCACGATCCAGACACTGTGACGGGATGGGCCGGAGGCTACTAGATCCGCCGCCCCCTGTTGATTCATCACAGGGGTGCCCCGCGTGCTGAACCCTTTCGGTTTTGGTGTTGGTTCTTTTTCCAAAAGAACTCCCCCTGGGGCTTCGGCGCGTCCCGCCTTCGTGTTCAAGACGACCTGAAATCTGCACAACGCCGCCTCCAAGACGGACAAAATGGCCCAAGATGGCCTCCAAGTTCGCCCAAGACGGAGAAGATGGCCCCAAGAGAGCCCAAGATGGCCCCAATATGTTTCCAAGACGACCCAAGATGCCCCCAAGATGGCCAGAGATGGCATCAAGATGGCCCAATACGGCCCGAGAGGCCCCCAAGACGGCAGAAGAGACCTCCAAGAGGGACCTCCAGGAAGGCCCGAATAGGTAAACATCATTGATGGTCAATTGGTTTTTGAGGGAGTCTGGCGTTTGCTCATTTTCGGCGTTCCGTCGGCCGAGGACGGCCCAAGAGGCCCCAAGATCGCCCCAGGATCGCCCAAGAGGCCTCCAAGATGGCCCCATGACGGCCGAAGATGCCCCCAAGACGCCCCCAGGAGGGCCCGAAGACGGCACAAGAAGCCTCCCAGGATGGTCTCCAAGACGGCCCTGAAGCGCCCCAAGAGGGCCCCAAGACGGCCCAGAGAGGGCCCCAAGACGACTTCCGACGGCGTCAGACGGGCCAGGAACGCCCTAAGACGGCCAAAGAGCCCCCCGATAAGCCCCCAAGAAGCTTCCAAAGGCCCCCAGCAGGCCCAAGAAGGCCCCAAAGAAGCTTCGAAGAGGCCCCCAAGAAGCTCACAGCAGGCCCCAAGGATGCTCCAAGAGACTCCCCAAAAGCCTCATCCTCCTTCTCTTCCTCTTACTCTTCCTCTTCCTCTTCATGGTCGTTCTCCCCCACATGTTCCCCGAAAGCTTTCCAAACCGACTCGGGGAACTCATGGTCCGACAGCTTGGCCAAGCTCTAGCCGCTAGCCCAACTCTCGGCCACACAAGCGCTTCCCAAAAAGGCAGGGGGCGGCGGTGATTCGCCGTAGGTGTCTTCAATCCGCCACGGCCTTCTTGGCTTGCCACAGAGGTGCACGGCGTGCGAGCTGTCTGGAAGGTTGTTGGTCCTTTTCTGAAGAACTCCCCCAGTGGTTTCGCCCCAGCCCGCCGGCCACCCGGAATCGCCTCCAAGACGGCCGAGGTGGCCCAAGATGGCCTCCAAGATGCCTTCAAGATGGGCAAGACGGCCCAAAGAGGGTCCAAGATAGCCTCAATATGGCCTCCAAGAAGGCCCCCAAATGCCCGCAAGACCGCCAAGATGGTCCAAGACAGCCCAAGACGGCCCAAGAAGTGCCCAAGACTCCCCTAAGACGGCCAAAAACGCCTCCACGACGTCCTCCAAGAAGGACCGAGAAGGCAAACACCCATTCATTGTCCTTTGGTGTTTGAAAGATCTTGGCGTTTAATTCAAAAAGGCCTTCTGACCGACAATACGGCCCAAGAGGCCCCAACATTTGCCCCAAGATCGCCCAAGAAGCGTCGAAAAATGGCCCCAAGACGGCCGAAGAGTCTCGCAAGACGGCCCCCGAAGAACCCCAAGACGGCCACCAACACACCCAAGATGGCCTTCAAGACGGCCCTGAAGAGCGCCAAGAGGGCCCCGAGACGGCCCAGAGAGGCTCCCAAGGCGGCTTCAGACGGCGTCAGATGGACCAGGATAGCCGCAAGATGGCCAAAGAGGTCCCCAAGACGCCCCCAAAGGCCCCCAAGAGGACAGATGAAACCCCAAGGAGGCCTCCAAGAGGCCCCTGGTTACTCCCAGGAGGCCCCAAGATAAACCCAAAAAGAACCCAAGAGGTCTCCTCCTCATTCTCCTCATCCTCCGTTTTCCTTACTCTCCTCATCCTCCTCTTCCTCCCCCACGTGTTCTCCGAAAGGCTTCCACAACGGCTGGGGGAACGCATGGTGTGGCCAAACCTTGGCCAAACGTTTGGCCACATAGGCCCATCCTAAAAGACAGGGGGCGGCGGTGATTCGTCGCAGGCGTCTTCGGTCTGCCGCCCCTTGTGGCTTGCCACCGGGGTGCACGGCGTGCCAGACGTTAAGTAAGTGCTGGTCCTGTGTAAGATTTCTACTGGGCTGCCGGCCCAGCCCGCCAGCCACCCGGAAAGACGCGGAAGGAAACCGACCAAAATTGTCCCAACATGGCCTCCAACATGCCTCCAAGACGGCCAAGGCTGCCGCAAGAAAGCCCAAGATGGTCCCAAAACGCCTCCATGACGGCCCAAGAGGCCGCGCTGACGGCCCAAGAGGCCCCCAAGACGCCCCAGGAGGACTCTCTACGCCCCAGGAGGACTCTACGAGAACCTGCAGGAGGCCAGCGTCACTGCTGCTGCGGAATTATCACTCTGATATTAGCGTTCTCGCCTTTTCGGGCTTCCGACGCTCCAAGACGGCCCCACAAACCCCTCGACATCGCCACAAAATGGCCCAAGAAACCTCGAAGAGGCCCGCAAGACGGCCCAAGAGGACCACAAGACGGCACCACGACGGCCCTCAAGACGGCACCACGACGGCCCCATAGACCTCCAAGATGGCCTTCAAGCGACCAAAGAGGGACCCACGACTGCCCAGAGAGGGCCCCAAGACGGCCTCCAAAAGACAAGAGGCCCCTCAAATGCCCCCAGGAGACCCTCAAAATGACGGACGGCATCATAAGAAACGCTTCTCGTAGGCGTTGTCGTCTAGGGCTGCGACGTAGGTTGGAATTCCTTTGCCCGTAAATCATCGGCGCCCCCCCCAAATCATCCTTCGCCTTCTCCCTTCAAGGTCCGATGTATGCACCTGCGCACGCGTCGCACAGGCTTTGGCATGCTGCGCCATCAGCGGCCACTGTTGTACTGTTCGAGGTAAAGGAGCTCTTGCGCATGTTCAACTTCGGGGGTGTCCACCAGGTCGTCCCAAAAGAAAGTCGTCCCCTAGATGGAGGAAGTCGCGTCGGACTACGTGCCGCGATCGTCCTCCTCCATCGAATTGAAGCTGGAGCAACTAGTGGCGCCGTTGCTGCCGTTGCTGCCGCAGGTGACGCCCAGGCGGTCAAGTTTCCTTGAGCGCCTTTGGTGCCACATGGCACATTCGTCCATGATCCTACTGCTGAGGCACCTGGTTGGGTTTCTACGTCTGCTTGGGCATCGCCTCCGACTAGGAATGTCATGTCTGCAAAATGTAAATCACTCCAGCCGGGGTTTCGAATGAGCTGGGAGACGTTGCCCGGCATGCATTCGACGATGCGCCGTCGGCGCCGGATCGCCTTCAGCAAATGATCGTACTGTTGCTGGGCACGTGAAATCACGCCATTGATTGGTTGGAGCAGCGAAAACATGTCGCATGAAAGATCTCGCAAGTCTCGGACACGAGTCGGAAACAGCAGCTGAAAGCTGTCTTGCCCGAAACCCGCTGTCTCTGCCCACATGCTGTGAGCAATCTCCAACGTGCAAGAACGCTGTCGATGCGATCGTTACTGCGCACTCTGAAACCCGTCAGCTCCAGTCATTGCTGCTGCTGGCGAGCATCCTCTCAGCACTCGAAGTTCTGCGCCAAGTAGTACAGCAGGTACGCGACAGGGTCCGCCCTCACTCCGTTGACGTCGGCCCCGAAGTGGATCACACCCGACGAGATTATCATGGCGACGCTGCGAGCTAGGCCTTGTGGACCTCGTTGCATGGCAGCCGCCTGCTGGGATGGCGTCACAAATCAAGAAAGAACGTTGAACCACAGGTGTACGTCTCGTATCCACACGCGATCGGAGACATCCCCAGCGGGCTTCCAGGAGGGAACACTCGTCTGATCGCCCTCGCGCTCTCTCATCACCTGGCCGATGATGACGCCCATGGCGATGGCTAGAATCCCGTTGACAGCGAGGCTCAAGCAGTGAAGGCGGAGGGAGAAGACGTTGGATGTAGTGGTTGTATTGGGGGAGCCCGCCGTGGGTCTACGAGCACCTAGAAATGGTGAGAGGTTCGCTGGCCGCCGCCCCTCGATCTCGGCGATGTGGTTGTCGAACGCGTTCCCGCGCTCGTGGGTCGAGAACGGCGGGGTCGGTATTGTTATTGGAGTGGTTGTGGTAGAGGTCAGACTAGTTGGAGTAGCGGTCGAGCTTCCCCGAGTGCCTGTAAACCTCCATGACATTGAATTAGAACTTGTGCAGGTAGAGTTCGGAGAAGGCAAGGTCTTCGTTTACGCGGCCGAGGACCCCCACGCGCGCATGACCTGGGTGGTGGCAAGTGGAGTTGCAGCGGAAGCGCAGTACTTGGTGGATGGCACGTGGACGCCCAGGAAGGCGTTCACAATACTCGTGTCCTCGGGGTCGCCTCCGCTTCCACGTTGATGTCGAAGGTCTGCATAAATCATGCCAGTCATCAGCACGCCGACGACGGAGGCCAGCAGAGCTGCCGCATGTGCGAAAGCCCCGCTACCAAATTTGAGCGGGGGTCGCCATCCCATGGTAGGGACGTAAAGGGCTGCAGGATACGACGGCGGTGATGACAACACGGAATTGGCAAAGGCCGCTTGTCATCCCGGGCCGCCGCAAATGATACGTCACGGGCGGCGCAGGCAGATGGGGCTGCGCCTTCTTGAGCCAAGGCGGCGGTGGTACGACCAACGCCTTGTGTAAATGCACCCTCGGGGAATTCCCTCAATGTAGGGGCGCCTGGCGCGCATCCCGTAAAAGGCATCCCCTCAATGTATCAAGCCCGGGCGGCAGGTCTCCTGTTGCCCAAATCGCCTCCCAACACCGTCACGACGGCTCAAGATAGCCCCCAAGATGCCTCCAAAACGCTAAGATGGCCCAACAGAAAGCCCAGGGTGGCCCCAAGATGTCTACAAAGCGGCCCATAGTGGCCCCAAGATGGCCAACGAGGCTCTCAACGCCCCAAGAGGGCTCCAAGAGGATCTCCAGGAGGCCACAATTCCTCATGTTCTGTAGTTGTTCAAAGATGTTGTCATTCTCGCCGTTTCGGGCGTCCGCCGCTCCAAGACGCCCCCACAGGCCCCCCTGATCGCCCCAAGAAAGCCCAAGACGGCCCACAAGGCCCCCAAGAAACCTGCAAGGCGGCCCAAGAGGACCCCAAGACGGCCCAAGAGACCCCCAAAGACGGCCCCAAGACAGCCCCATAAACCTCCAAGACGGTACTCAAACACCCACAGGGGGACCCACGACTGCCCAGAGAGGTCCCCAAAACTGCTCCCGAAGGTCAAGAGGCCACTCTGAGGCCACCAACGGCGCCCCCAAGAGGCGATCAAGAGGCCCCAGGAGGCCCCAAAGAGGCCCCAGGAGACCCCCGAGAGGCCCCTCAAAGACCCCTCAGAGGCTCACAGGAAGATCCTGGGAAGCCCCAAGACGGCATCAAGAGGCCAGCTGGTCCTCGTCCTCCTCCTCGCTCTACTTCTCTCTCTTTCTCTCTCTCTCTCTCTCTCTCTCTCTCTCTCTCTCTCTCTCCCCCCCTTCTTTCGAACTCTCTTCCAGATGTTAGCCAAAAGGGTTCCACAACGGTTGGGGGAACACATAATCCAATACCGTGGCCAGATCTCGATGTTGCACCAGCGCCTGGCCGCATGGGCGCTTCCAAAAGGCAAGGGGGCAGCGGTGATGCTCCGTAGGCGTCTTCGATACTTCATCAACCCTTCCCAAACTTTTGCACACGACAAGAACTCCAGCATCGGACAGGTTGCCTCCACTTAGCACTATTCCCGGCCCAATGCTCAAAAGCCTGTCCGACATGCCCAGAATCAACCGCTTCAGCCTTCGACATCCACTGCATGCCGTAACATAGTCATCGCTTGCTTCGACATCAGCCTGGAACTCTTCGAGGAACAAGCACGAGCGTGCCAGAGCCTCAGGCACGGCAGCGTTCTTGTAAAACTCTGTATCGGTGTCACCTCCCAGCGCGAGGCAGCGCAAGTTACTCCAGAGAGCGACGACATGCCTCCACTTGGGGATTGACACGTTCCCAAACAATTCGTTGAAGTAGAGATCTTGCAGCCCTGTGCACGTCGAGCACAGCTGGGCAAGAGCGCCATATGTGATCGTGACATTGAAGAGCCCAATTCCTACAACTGTCCGGACATTCTTGAAATGGGCCAATAAGGACTTCATATGCCCGTCCTCAATCCGCCACCGTGCCTCTGGGCACGCAGCGGGCGTGTCCTCAGGTCCTTTGCCCAATCCCTGGAGCCTCAACCCTCAACCCTGAGAAGTTGTTCTAAAGGGCCTGGACCCCAATTCCCGAAATAATTGCGGGACTTTCCGCGGTTCCCTGGGTCTCCCCTATGGTTTGTCGCATGACTTGTTCGGGACCAAGGGGGCCCCAAGACGGGCGAAGACGGTCCCAAGAGGTCCCCAAGACGGTCCAAGCGGGCACCCAGTCGCCGAAAGATCGCTCCGTGATGCCCAAGATGGTCTCAAGATGGCCCAAGAGGCCTCCAAGACGTCCCAAGAGGCCTCCAAGAGGCTCCCCAAGAAAACCCCAAGAGGCAAAAATCATTGAGTTGCCTCTGGTTTTTGGAGGATGCTGGCGTTCTCGTCTTTTCAGCTTTCAGACTCTGTAAGGCGGCCCAAGAGGCCCCAAAGACCACCCCAAAACAACCAAAAGAGGCCCCCGAGAGGGCCCCAAGACGGTCCAAGAGGACCCACAGACGGCCCAAGAGGCACGCAAGACGGCCCAAGAGGCGCCCAAGACGGCCCAAGAAGGTCCCAAGGGGGGCACAAGAGAGGGAGCACGACCCGGAAAATATAGCTTTCCGCCCCAAGGGGCCCCCACACGAAGTCCCGCCGGCCACCCGGAAAGTGCACAAGTCAATGCCTGAAAGGGCCGTTTCGCTTGGGACATCCTCAAACAATCGCGAAGATGGCCCAAGATGGCCTCCAAGTCCGCCCAAGATGGTCCAAGACGGCCTCCAAGACGGCCCAAGAAAGTCCAAGACGGCCCAAGAGGCCCCCCAGAGGCCTCCCAGACGGCCCAAGAGGCCCCCAAGAGGTCCTCCAGGAGGGCCCGAAGAGGCCGACGAAATCATTTATTTTTCTTAGGTTTTGAAGGATTTTGGAATTTGTTTCTTCTCTGCATTCCGACGCCTCAAGACGGCCCAAGAGGCCCATAGAGGCCCCCCAAACGGCTTCCGACGGCGTCAAACGGACCAGGAGCCCACCAAGACGGCCGAACATGGCCCTAAGATGGCCCAAGACGGCCCAAGAGGCCTCCAAGAGGGTCTCCGGGAAGGTCCGAAAAGGCCCAAATCATTGATTTCCCAGCAGGTTTTTTGCTTTTTTTTCTGCCTTCCGACGGCCCGAGACGGCCCAAGTGCCCCCAAAAATCGCCCAAGAGGCCCAAGACACGGCCCCAAGAGGCCCCCAAGACGGCGCAGGAGGTCTCCACGACGCTCAAGATGGCCTCCAAGACTGTCCAAGAGCCCTCCAAGACGTCCTCCAAGAAGGCCAGAAAGAGTCAAATGGCCTCCAGACGGCCAAGATGACCTTCAAGATGCCCACGTGTTCCCCGAAGGCTCTCCAAACTGACTCGGGAAACACATGGTCCGATAGCTTGGCAGGTCTGGCCTCAACGTTCGGCCACATAGGCGCTTCCACAAAGGCAGGGGGCGGCGGTGATTCGCCGTAGGCGTCTTCGATAGCAGGATCCTGCAACTCCACGCGCCTCGAGGCATCGAGCTTAGAACACTGATGGAACGCGCGATTCACTGCTCGAAAGCCGTTCAGGCCCCGAAGGTGTGATAAGCGCCATTTTTGAATATACTCCTGCGGCAACCCCAACCACGAAGCAACCTCTGATAGGTAAGGCATCAGCCCATGGAAAAAATCGCCTGGACCGAAATCCATTCACGTCAGCCGCTCGAGGCATGCCGGTCACCACCGCTCGGGCCACAGAGCTTGCCACGGAGCTCGAGGGGGGGAAGCTGGGGGCTTCGAGTGGCGCAGAGGCCGAGACGGGGTAGAGACGCGGCGGCAGCACCGACGGACGGGCTGGGGCTGGATGCGACTGCGATGAGAGATCTGCAGATTCTGTGTGTGTGTGTGTTTATCCTCTGGCCCTCTACGGCTGTTCCTCGGGGGCGCGCAAACATGGATCAACGATCCATGGATTTGGCGCGCGGTCGCCAGATCCATGGATCGTGGGAGGTGCACTCCCCAACATGCGGCCGGTGCCGCCTCGTTCGGCGGCGGAAATCTGCGACCTCCCACGGAAACGTGACCCATCGCCAATCCACGCCCGCCTGATCCATGCTCGCGATCGCCTGACTTACCCAAGCCAAAGCCCTCCCCCCCCCGGGTAACGGTCGTTCGCGTGGGGGCGTGGGGGGCCGGACTCCCTCCCACACGAGCCGCTGCTCGCGCGCATAATCAGCATGGCGATCATAGCGCAGCGCGCCGCCCCCACGTGCGCCGCCGCGCCCAAGCGTTTTGCCAGTACCCCGGGGCCCCCACCGTGAAAGTCGGAGTTGCGGGGGGTGCCGGACCCCCCGGCAAAACCAGCCAGGCTGCCGGCGACGATCTCGCACCGACGCAGTGATGTTCCCTAGTGCTGCTCGCCAAAACCCACATTTTTTGAGGGCCCGCCCCCCCTTGCATCTCCGACCCTCATAGCCTTAAATCAAACATATCCCCCTACAGGCAAATTTAAGGCCAAAAATCAAAAATATTCATTATTCACTGCGTGGAGCTCCCCATATGTGCATCTACTCGCATGGACCTGTCCGCCGTGAACGTCTAGGCGCAAGAGCTTTCGAATATTAACGGGCTTCAGTTGTGACGGTCTGGACATCAATCTAACTGCGAATGAATTGGAGTGTGAATGAGCCTCAGTAGTACGAGCGCGTCTCTGTGCATGAGCCTGGGGCCTCCTGGGGCCTCCTGAAACCTACTGGGGCTTCCTGGGGTCTCCAGGAGCCTCTTGGGACCTCCTGGGACCTCCTAGGAAGGTTTCGTGCCCCAGGAGAGGCGCAATCTATAGCAACAGACGTACATAAAACATTGCGGATTAGAGCCACAGGAGAAGGGCAATCTATAGGAACACGCGTAAAACACCAAGGACTCGTGCCCCAGGAGAGGCCCAATACATAGGAACATGAGTAAAACATTTAGGATTGTGTACACAGGAGAAGGACCATCTATAGAAACATACGTAGAACATCAAAGAATCGTGCTCCAGGTGAGGCCCAATCGATAGGAGCATACGTAAAACACATGGGATTGGAGCCACTCCTGTTGCCTTCTGAGGCCTCCTGCTCCTGGGGCCTCTCGGGGCCTCCTGTTGCCTTCCGAGGCCTCCTGGCGCTTCCTGTTGCCTCCTGGGGCCTCCTGTGGTTTCCTGAGGCCTTCTGGAGCTTCCTGGGGCCTCCTGGAGCCTCTTGGGACATCCTGTGGCCTCTTGAGTCTTTCTGTGGCCTCCTGATGCCTCCTGGGACCTCATGTGGTCTCCTGGGGCCTCCTGGAGCCTGTTGGAGCCTCCTGTGGCATCCTGAGAAGAATCTGCGCCCACGAGCCTGGCCACCAAAACAAGCAAACCGATCGAGACATCCTCAAAATCTGGCCCACCTGGGGGGTGAAAATGAGCGCCTCGCTCGAGACATCCTCCAAATCTGCTCCGAAAGCGAAGGATGTTGGGCACAGAAACAAGCAAACCGCCTGAGACATCCCCACAAAATGGCCGCGAACGAGCCCGTGCAACCACCCCTGGCGGCTCCCCTTAGGGGTGCTGAAATGAGCGCCTCGCTCGAGACATCCTCCAAATCTGCTCCGAAAGCGAAGGATGTTGGGCCCAGAAACAGGCAAACCGCCTGAGACATCCCCACAAAATGGCCGCGAACGAGCCCGTGCAACCACCCCTGGCGGCTCCCCTTAGGGGTGCTGAAATGAGCGCCTCGCTCGAGACATCCTCCAAATCTGCTCCGAAAGCGAAGGATGTTGGGCCCAGAAACAGGCAAACCGCCTGAGACATCCCCACAAAATGGCCGCGAACGAGCCCGTGCAAACACCCCTGGCGGCTCCCCTTAGGGGTGCTGAAATGAGCGCCTCGCTCGAGACATCCTCCAAATCTGCTCCGAAAGCGAAGTATGTTGGGCCCAGAAACAGGCAAACCGCCTGAGACATCCCCACAAAATGGCCGCGAACGAGCCCGTGCAAACACCCCTGGCGGCTCCCCTTAGGGGCGCTGAAATGAGCGCCTCGCTCGAGACATCCTCCAAATCTGTGTATGAGTAAGTCTGTGTATGAGTAAGTCTGTGTATGAGTATGTCTGTGTGTGAGTAAGTCTGAGTATGAGTAGGTCTGAGTATGAGTAAGTCTGAATATGAGTAAGTCTGTGTATGAGCAAGTCTGAGTATGAGTAACTCCGACAGGAGGGGAGGAGGAAAGAGGAGGAGGAAGGAGGAGGAGTAGGAGGCGTCCAAGTAATAACAAGAACCCCATCTTAGGATATAGGGGAACAAGAGAGGAGGAGGGAGGAGGAGGAGTAGGAGGCGTCCAAGTAATAACAAGAACCCCATCTTAGGATATGGGGAAAAACATATTCAAAAAAATACCCCAAAAATAATCCCCAGACTATTTGTTTTGCTATTTTTGAATACTCATAGCCCTAACCCCCCCACCCCTCGCCATAACTTGGACAACCGGGCCACGTGCCTGCTCCTCGACATCGTGCGTGTAATTTCTTGTTCCGCAGGCAAACCCAGAGTACTCCTCGGTGGCCCCGCCGGAGAAGAAGACGTACGCGTCCGAGCGATGCCAAGCCCCCGGCCCCCTGGGCGACGGCCGTTACCGAAATAACGAGAGTCAAATCTCTGGCCCGAGCGCCGCCCGCGGGGTGCGGGAGGCCTCCCGATATCCCAAACAGGAACAGGAAGCAAGCAGCTCCAGATCATCGACCCCAATCGAATCAATACAATCAAGCCGGACGCTGAAAGCACATCGACACAGTTGTGTTCGCATCGGGCCAACGTTTGTTGCACTCTGGCTCACTCTAGGGCCCCCCCTTGGACCCCTCTAGATGGAGGGTCACAGAGGTGGCTTGAGAAGGCCCAAGAGGGCCATCATCCAACAGCCACCCCAGGGCCGCGCTAAGCACTGCTGACAAGCTTATGAATATGAAGGGCTGCCTATGTAGTATACGCTTACTTGGTTTCCGTATCGGCATTCATGAAGCCTATTTCCAAGGCTAGTACGCCTAATATCGGGCATGGAAGGAGGAGGGGCCTGAGGATGAGAAGGATGAGGAGAAGCCCTAGGAGGAAGAGGAGGTGGGAGAAGGGATGACGAGGCCCACGACTAGGAGGACGAGGAGGATCTCGAGGCAAACGTGGACCCGCCTGCGGGAGCACTCGGGCCATCAACCTCACTCAATGCCCAAGGAGGCATCCGACTGACGGGGGTACAGGGTAGCCACATATCTTTGCCTCCTCCATCCGCCATCACCCTCCCCGTATCCCTCTCCACCTTCTCTTCCTGTGTTCCTTCATCCTTCCCTCCGCGACCCTCTTCCTCCCTCCATTCCAACATATCGAAACACTTACGCGCGGAATGACGCTGGACGAAGGATGAAGAGAGGACTGGGGGGATGAAAAAGGGAAGGGGAAGGAGAAGGGAATAAGGAACGAGGAAGGAAGAGGGGGGGAGGGAGACGCGGAGGAGGAGGGAGGAGGAGGAGGAGGAGGAGAAGGAGGAGGGTGAATCGGACTGTGGATCTGCCAATGTGGGGCAGGCTTCATCTCTGGGATCCCAGGTGGAAAAGGAGGTGGGCAGATGGAAGGTGGAAGGAGACAGAGGGAGAGCGAGGGGGGAAAAGAGGGAAGAGAAGAAGGTGGAGAAGAAGGGAGGAGGAAGGAGAGAGGATGAGGAGGGGAAAAGAAGGCAAGAGGGACAATGAAAGATGGAGGATGTACGAGGGACGAGAAGGAAGGATGTCACCGTCAAGGCAACTGTTGTGTCAGAGATCTCGCCTGGGAATGGGGGAGAAACGAGGAAAGTGAGGAACGCTCAGGGGGGCGGGAGGAGGGAGGAGGGAGAGAGAGGAAGACGGAGAGACGCATCCAAGAGGGGACCGCCTTGGACCGTCCTGCAGGGAGGAGTGGGCTGAGGAGCTGCAGAAGAGGAAGCAAGGCAGGGAGGCGGGAGCAGGGACGAGGACGCCGATGCTGACAAGGAAGGGCAGCCAGAGCAGCCTCCAGAGCCTGGGAGGAGGAGGAGGAGGAGGAGGAGGAGGAGGGGGAGGGAGGAGGAGGAGGAGAGGGGAGGAGGAGGAGGAGGAGAGGAGGAGGAGGAGGAGGAGAGGAGGAGGAGGAGAGGAGGAAAGGAGGCGGAGGGGGAGGGGGAGGAGGGAGGAGGAGGAGGCGGAGGAGGAGGCGGAGGAGGAGCGCCCCAAAGTCTGCACAGCCCCATCGACAGACCGAGGACCTCCTGCGCCTCTCGCCTCATCGCCGGCCGAGGCCCGGGGCTGGGTGCCTTCTCGTCACCCTGGTGCGGGGTGGCGAGCCTGACGGAGACCTCGCGCCCGCGCGCTCGGGGGCCGCCAGTCGGGCGGCACCCTGGGGCGAGAGGAGACTTCCCGTTTTCGAGTAGGGGATCGACTGCAGAATTGAGCTGGCCCAGAATCATTCTTGTTCCGTCACATCTCTAAACATGCGTAGAATGATCCGTAGATCCTCGGCGCATTCTACGCATTGTTACTAGATTCGATGAAAACCATGATTGGGGCAAATCAGTTCTGTAGTCAATCCCCTACTCGACGTTTACGTTAGACCGACATTGGCTGAGTGGCCGTCGCGTCAGGAAGCTGATTAAAAGAGATCACGGTTGATAAGAAACACCCCCTCGGATCACCTTGGCAAGACAAGCGGGGAGAAGCGGTGTCCAGAGAGCGCGGGAAAGTAGGAAAACCCTCGCGGGAATTGAATACAAATGGGGCATCCTCCTCCACCTCCTCCTCTTCCTCCTCCTCCTCCTCCTCCTCCTCCTCCTCCTCCTCCTCATCATCATCATCATCATCATCATCATCATCATCATCATCAGCATCATCATCATCACCATCCGGCCTATGCTGCATCACAACCCTCACAACCAGCGTACCCGTAATCGTTACCATCGTCACCACCACGATCACGACCACCACCATCGTCACCACTGCCGGACTCACCACTCTCATCTCCATACCCATGCTCGTCATGATATCCGCATTATTTTCAGCATCCTGTGCACTTCTGGACGCTTGCTGTACCAGATGGTCGATGCTCTCGGAAGACAACATGCTTGGACGCGTTCGTTTTGGCCCAGCCCTCGGGAAGACTCTGGAGGCCTCTGGGGGCCTTCGGAGGCCCCTCAGGAGACCTCTGGCGACCTCCAGAGAATTCCGCATGGAAGCCAGAGGAGGGAGCAGGTCGGTCAGGCACAACTTCGAGGGGTCCACTCTTGCTGCCCGGCAGTCTGGCGCGCGCCCCACGCGAAGCGGTCGCAGACAACCTCCCTGCCTGAAGGGGCTCGCAGATTTGTCGCACCCAGGGTGAAAGCTGGTGAAGACCACGGGGGGGAAGTACGAACAAGGAAAGGCGACACCAACACCACCAGGGCGAGGAGATGCGAGGAGCAAGGGGGGTCTCCCTGATGGTGTGGTCCCCCCCTCTCGCTCGAGACATCCCCCATCCCCAGCTCGGGGAGGCATCGTGGACCTCTTCGCTGGAGGTGGCCCCCTGGTGGTGCTGGCTTCGCGTCTCCTCCCTCCGAGGGAAGGACAGGTTCTGGGGTACACCGTCCGCCCGAGCGAGACGGCGAACACCTGGGCTGCCCACGGGGCCCTTCTAAGCTGCCTCCGTGTCGTCGCCACGGCTCGATTCGTTTCGATCATCGCAGGCTGGGGCGTCGAAGGAGGACAAGAAGGAGGGGAAGCAGGGGGGGGCGAAGGCAGAGCGAGGATGTAGGACGGAAACCAGGACGCCGGAGGAGGCCTCCAAGAGGAACTCCAGATGGCGCGAAGAAGCCAAAAAGCATATAGCCCCCTTGGTTGTTGGAACATGTCCACGACCTCGCTTTCTCCTCCCTCCGACAGCCCGAGGCGACCCAAGAGGCCTCCAAGAGGACCTCCAGAGGGCGCGAGGACGCCAAACACGTGTGCTTCGCCTGGTGTTTGAAAGGTGTCCGCGCTCTCGCGTTCCGCGGCTTCCGACAGCCCAGGACGATCCAGGATGCATCCAGAAGGGTCCCAAGACGGCCCAAGTGAGCCTCAAGATGGCCCGAGAGGGACCCGAGACTCCCCCAGAGTAGAATCCGACCCCGAGTAGCCACAAGCGGCCCCTGAGGCGGCCCAGAGCGGCCTCCGCGACATGGCCCCCGAAGGCGCAAGGCGGCCCAGAGAGCGCCCCACGACGCCCCCGCAGAGAGCCCCGAGGTGGCCCGAGCGAGCCCAAGAAATCACGCGGTCCAATCGCAAAACAGTGCCGTCACCAAACTCTCCACCACACAGGCGCATCCAGAAGGCAGGGGGTGGCGGTGATTCGCCGGAGGCATCTTCGATAACTGCACAACCGCCGCCGCCGCCGCCATCGCCGTCGTCGTCGTCGTCGTCGCCGTCGTCGTCGTCGTCGTCCTCGTCGTCGTCGTCGCCGTCGCCGTCGCCGCCGCCGTCGTCGTCGACGTCGACGTCGTCGTCAACGACGATCGTCGTCGTCGCCGTCGCCGTCGCCTTCGCAACCGTCGTCGACGTCGTCTTCGTCGTCGCACTCGTCGTCGACGTCGTCGCCGTCGTCGTCGTCGACGTTGTCGTCGCCGTCGTCGTCGTCGTCGTCGTCGTCGTCGCCGTCGACGTCGTCGTCGACGTCGCAACCGTCGTCGGCGTCGTCGTCGTCGCCGCCGTCGGCATCGTCGTCGTCGTCGCCGTCGTCGTGGTCGCCGTCTTCCTCGTCGTCGTCGTCGTCTTCGCCGCCACCGGCGTCGCCGTCGTCGCCGTCGCAACCGTCGTCGTCGTCGTCTTCGCCGAAACCGGCATCGTCGTCGTCGCCGTCGTCGTCGTCGTCGTCGCCGTCGTCGTCGTCGTCGTCACCGGCGTCGTCGTCGTCGTCCTCGCCGCCGCCAGCGTCGTCGTTGTCGACGTCGTCATCGTCGTCGTCGTCGCCGTCGCCGTCACCGTCGCCGTCGTCGTCAACGTCGACGTCGTCGTCGACGTCGTCGTCGTCGTGATCGTCGCCGACGCCGCCGACGCCGCCGTCGTCGTCGTCTTCGCCGTCGCCGTCGTCGTCGTCGTCGTCGCACTCGTCGTCGTCGTCGACGTCGTGGTCGCCGTCGTCGTCGTAGTCGCCGCCGTCGTCGCCGTCGTCGCCGTCGTCGTCGTCGCCGTCGTCGCCGTCGCAACCGTCGTCGTCGTCGTCGCCGTCGTCGTCGTCGTCGTAGTCGTCGCCGTCGTCGTCGTCGTTGTCGTCGTCTTCGCCGCCACCTGCGTCGTCGTCGTCTTCGCCGCCGCCGCCGTCGTCATCGTCGTCGTCACCGGCGTCGTTGTCGTCCTCACCGCCGCCAGCGTCATCGGCGTCGCCGTCTTCGTCGTCGTCGTCGCCGTCGCCGACGTCGTCGTCGCCGTCGTCGCCGTCGTCGTCGCTTCCGCCGCCGCCGCGTCGCCGTCGCAACCGTCGTCGTCGCAGCCGCCGCCGTCGTCGTCGTCGTCGTCTTCGCCGCCGCCGGCGCCGTCATCGTCGCCGTCGTCGTCGTCGTCGTTCTCGTCGTCGTCGCCGTCGCCGTCGCCGTCGCCGTCGTCGCCGTCGCCGTCGCAACTGTCGTCGTCGTCGTCGTCGCCCTCGTCGTCATCGTCTTTGTCGTCGCCGTCGTCATCGTCTTTGCCGTCCCCGTCGACATCGTCGTCGTCGTCGCCGTCGCAACCGTCGTCATCGTCGTCGTCGTCGTCGTCGTGATCGCCGTCGCCGTCGTCGTCGTCGTCTTCGACGCCACAGGCGTGGTCGTCGTCGCCGTCGTCGTCGTCGTCGCCGTCGTCGTCGTCGAAGGCGTCGTCGTCCTCGCCGCCGCCGCGGTCGCCGTCGTCGCCGCCGCCGCCGTCGTCGTCGCCGTCGTCGTCGCCGTCGTCGCCGTCGCCGTCGCCGTCGTCGTCGACATCATCATCTTCACCACCATCATCGTCGTCATCACCAGCGCCGCCGTCGCCGCCGTCGACGTCGTCGTCGTCGTCGCCGCCGGCGTCATCACTGGTGCCGTCGCAACCGTCGTCATCGTCGTCGCCGTCGTCGCCCTCGTCGCCGACGCCGACGTCGTCGCCGTCGTCGTCGTCGACGTTGTCGTCGCCGTCGTCGTCGTCGTCGTCGCCGTCGACGTCGTCGTCATCGTCGCTGTCGCAACCGTCGTCGTCGTCGTCGTCGCCGTCGTCGCCGTCGCCGTCGTCGTGGTCGTCATCGTCGTCGCCACCGGCGTGGTCGTCGTCGCCGTCGTCGTCGTCGTCGTCGTCGCCGTCGCAATCGTCGTCGTCGTCGCCGTCGCCGTCGTCGTCGTCCTCGCCACCGCCGTCGTCGTCGTCGTCGGTGCCGTCGTAGTCGTCGTCGTCGTCGTCGTGGTCGCCTACGCCGTCGCCGTCGCCGTCGTCGTCGACGTCGACGTCGTCGTGGTCGCCGTCGTCGTCGTCGTCGTCGCCCCCGCCGCCGTCGTCGTCGTCGTCGTCGTCGCCGTCGTCGTCGTCGTCGCCGTCGCAACAGTCGTCGTCGTCGCCGCCGCCGTCGTCGCGGTCCTCGCCACCGCCGTCGTCGTCGTCGTCGCCGTCGTCGTCGTCGTAGTCGTCGTCGTCGTCGTCGTGGTCGCCTACGCCGTCGCCGTCGCCGTCGTCGTCGACGTCGACGTCGTCGTGGTCGCCGTCGTCGTCGTCGTCGTCGCCGCCGCCGCCGTCGTCGTCGTCGTCGTCATCGTCGCCGTCGTCGTCGTCACCGTTTCAACCGTCGTCGTCGTCGTCGCCGCCGCACTCGTCGTTGTCGTCGTCGTCGTCGCAGTCGTCGTCGTCCGTCGTCGTCGCCGTCGCCGGTCGCAACCGTCGTCGTCGTCGTCGTCGTCGTCGTCGTCGTCGTCGTCGTCGTCGACGTCGCACCCGTCGTCGTCGTCGCCGCCGCACTCGTCGTGTCGTCGTCGTCGTCGCCGACGTCGTCGTCGTTGTCGTTGCCGTCGTCGTCGTCGTCGCCGTCGCCGTTGTCGTCGTCGCCGTCGCAACCGTCGTCGTCGTCGTCGTCGGCGTCGTCGTCGTCGTCGTCGCCGTCGTCGTCGTCGCCGTCGACGTCGTCGTCGTCGCCGTCGTCGTCGTCGCCGTCGCAACAGTCGTCGTCGTCGTCGTCGTCGCCGTCTTCGTCGTCGTCGTCGCCGTCGCCGACGCCGCACTCGTCGACGTCGACGTCGTCGTCGTCGTCGCCGTCGTCGTCGTCGTCGCCGCCGCCGCCGCCGTCGTCGTCGTCGTCGTCGTCGTCGCCGTCGTCGTAGTCGCCGTCGCAACCGTCGTCGTCGTCGTCGTTGCCGTCGCACTCGTCCTCGTCGTCGTCGTCGTCGTCGTCGTCGCCGGAGTCGTCGTCGTCGCCGTCGTCGCCGTTGTCGTCGCCGTCGCCGTCGTCGTCGTCGTCGTCGGCGTCGTCGTCGCCGCCACCGCCGCGAAGTCGTCGTCGTCGTCGCCGTCGCCGTCGTCGTCGTCGTCGTCTTCGCCGCCGCCGGCGTCGTCGTCGTCGCCGTCGTCGTCGTCGTTGTCGTTCTCGTCGTCGTCGCCGTCGCCGTCGTCGTCGTCGCTTGGACGACCAGCGCGGGAAGCTTCCGCTCGAGGAGCTGGGTCAGTGCCGGCAGGTGGACCGCGTCGCAGGGGTTGATCACCACGGAGATGCCGAGGAGCCGCCTCGTCCCGTGCACGAGTGGGGGAGGACGAAGAGAAGGGGGGCGAGGAGGAGAGATGGGGTGTCCGTTGAAGGAGGGGGGGAGGGGAGGAGGAGGATAAGGTGGCTGCTGGAGGGGAAGGGGACATAGAGAGCGAAGCGGGAGGAGGGTGAGGATGGGAGGGAGCAAACGGGAGGGAGGGGAGGGGTCGATGAGGAGGGGGAGAAATTCCGCGCACTCGAGATGCGTAAATTGAGGAGGCGGGACAGGAAGGCACCAGAAGAGGATGAGGAAAGGGAAGAGGAGGGCATGGGAGGACGAGGAGGAGGAGGAGGAGGAGCGTGGCCGAAAAGCGTGTGAAATGAACGACTAATGCGGAAGATCCGCATTCCGCACAGCGGGTAATGAGAGAACGCGAAGCACTATAGATACAAAGGGGTAGGAGCCGATGAAGACGCGCACCACGCAGCTCAGAGGAAGACGATGGGGGGCAAGCTCGGGAGAATCACGAGGGTGGTGAAGCCCTTCGACCAGCCCTCCACAACGGGCACCGCGACGAAGACGCCCCTCAGTCCACATCTGGCTCGAGAGGAAGCCGGAGAAGTCGGAGTTCGCATCCTGTTCATCCCTGGCCTCGCTTTCGTCGAAGTCGCCCATGGCACGACCCTCCGGGCGGAGGAAGCGACAGTCTGGCCTGCGGCAGCCCCGCCCGAAGCGACGTCGAACTCCATGTGGTGACCGAGAGCCAGGCGCAGGCGAGGACGAACCACCGTGGGAGCGGCCGCGCTGCTGGCGATATGACTTGAAGATGCATTTTCTCCAACTCCCTCAAATGCTTCATTGCTGACAACAGGGCGGCGTTCGTCTGGGACTCAAAATCCGTGGTCCTCTTCTCGTGCTCAGAAGCCGCACGGCTCGGGGCAACCACGCCATGGGGGGGTCAAGGGGGGCCAAACGACGACACGCGTCCGCCTGGCACTCCACTTCGTCTGAACTCGTTTCGGTGTCCGTGCCCTCTGCCGAGGCTGCAGCTTGTGCCTCGTCTGCCGAAGCCACCTCGCGTGACACTCGAGGCTGTCCCTGCGCCACCTTTTCGACCATGGCAGCGTTGGGCTCAAACTCGAGATCCTTCACCTTACCATCCAGCTTCTACATGATCTGGCTGATCGTGGCGTTCTGAGACTCCACCAGGGCCTGGTACGCGCTGAGCTGGGTGTCGAAAAGCTGGGAGGCTCCTGCCGTCGACGCCGCATCGTGCACGTCATTGATGCTGCTGTCGGCCTGGCGAGCTACCTTCTGAGGCCAGAGCTATTCCTGAGGCTGCCCAACGATGTCGGCGTAGCAATCCTTCGTGGCGTGCCCTGTCACTGCCTAGGCCAAGTTGAGTTGATTGATCTTGTTTGTCAGCTTTCTGCTGAGCGAGTCCCTGCAGTAGCCGAGACCCTCCCTTCTCGTTTTCACTTTCTGGTCTGATGCAGCGGCCATCGCCTGAATCGACTGGAAAACTCTGCCAGAATCCTGATGCTCGTGTCCGGAACCCCTGGCGGCGGCGGCGCAGAGGCAGAAGCGTTCCATCCATGCGCACTCAAAGGAGATAGGAGGAGGAGGAGGAGAAGAAGGAGGAGGAGGAAAGGCAGGAGGAGGAGGAGGAGGTGGAGGAGGAGGAGGAGGAGGAGGCAGAGGGAGGAGGGAGAAGCAGAATGAGAAGAGGGAAGATGGGGAGAGGGATGCTGGAGGAGGGGAGAGAGGGGGAGGTGGAGGGAGGAGCGGAGGGGGCGCGGGAAGGGGAAGGGGGAGGGGGGAGCGGAGGGGGGCGCGGGGAGGAGGAGGAGGAGGATGGGGTGCGGGAGGAGGAGAGAAACGAAGCCGAAGGTGACTCCGATCCGGGCCAGGGCGCGCGCGCGCGGCCAGCTCCGCCCGTGAGGCCGCGGGGCATCCTCGGAGCTCGGCGGGAGGCACGGGCACGTCGCAGAATTTGCGTGCAGCTGAAGTGGCCACGGTTCGCCGGCAACTCGTGGGGGCCACCCATGGGACGCAGAGGGGCCTACTGGTATCACGTGTCCTCCTCGGAGGCGCGCGTCCGACCCGAAGATATTAGCATATCCATCTTGTGGTACATCGTTTCCCGAGCGGTACGGCCAGAAAGCGCCCGCCACGACGCATGCACTATAAGAATTGTCGGTGCGCGCGTCGCCCCTGGGGGGGCGGCGCACACGTAGTATCAGTCTGTTGGGGTGCCGCCGATCCCATGCCATCTTGCTGGCTCTTGCAAATCGACGCTGTCTGGCGCCAGTCTACGCCAATCAACGCCGAATCGGCGCCAGATCGGCGCGATTCGGCGCAGAATCGGCGCTTGCACAAAGCTTCCATGATTTGCGACCGAAGTATGGATGGCGGCGCAGTCCTCCGTGGCGCGGTACTTGGACGACCGCGGTGGTTGTTGGGAAGATAGTGGGTTGCAAGTAAATGTGGAGGCGGGTCACATCTGGCCTGAGCTAGCTTTGAAAAGGCTACAGATGCCCCATAGTGGCTTAAAAGGGTTAGGCAATTCTGGTAAACGGGCCCCGCCCACTTAGCCCAGATCCTTGCCCCCCGTGAGCCGCCTAGGGCACCTGCAACCCACTCATAAGCTCGGTTAGGCCAGATGTAGCTTACCGCAGCATCCACTCAACACCCCCTCTCCTCTCAGCACCCGCACCCCCCGCGGTCATCCAAGAGCGGCAGGCCGCCGAAAGCAGCGCCGCCGAGTCTGTCACCCCGCTCTCGCCCGCGCTCCAGGAGCTCGTTGCTCAGCAGGCCGCACCGCGGGGCCAGCGGGCGCCACAAGCGCGGGCAGACCATGCAGCGGCTCACAGAATCCTTCCCGCCGCACCCGAGGAGGCAATGGCGCTTCTCCTTCGGCACAAACGTGCATCCGTCATGAAGTTGTCCAGCCACCCGACGGCGTCTTCATCGTGGCCCAGACACGCGGCGGTTGGAGCGTCGCCACGGGGGCCACAAATTACAAACAGAAACTTGCCCGTGCAGGGCAAGGACAACCTCGAGCAGCGTCCCGGCACTGGCGCAGAGAGGAGGCTACGAAGGGCTGCAGACGGTCGAAGACAAGCATATGCCACCGAGTAGCGCGCCAGGGGACCAGGAGGGGGCCTGCGATGGGCTACTGGCCCCCGAAGACAGGCCCGAGCGTCGCATAACAAATCGAGACGGCCAGCTTTGTTCCTTCATTCCCAAGGGCAGCTAGGTTCGCGCTTCGCGCTACGCGCGAATAGCTTCGCGCTCTCGTGCCGCCTCCCTGGGGGACAAGAGAAAAACGAGGAGGATGAACATCGCGAACCTCGAACCGCGAATAGCTTCGCGCCCTGGTGGAAGCTCTTGCCCTTCGGCCTCCTGATCTTGTGCAGGAGGTGTCCGGATGTCCTCCAGGAGGGGTCTTTGGGGACTGGCCATCTTCTCCGACGTCGCAGCTTCTGTCGTGGCGCGGGCCCCCGTGCAGAGACGCACCTACATCCCGAGTCGTTGTTTGACGGCCCCCCGGGGGCACGCAACCGAAACATCTGCGTTGGGCGTGGCTTCATGGGGGGGTCACAAATAGGGGGGTCAGAAACGGTCCCCGTTCGTGCCCCTTTCGGGCCCCTCCGGAGCCCCAGGGGGCTCGTTTAGGTACCGTTTGGGTACCTTTTCGGACCACCTGCGACACCCCCCCATTTATGACCCCCCCATTACGCAACGCCCAAAACATCTGCGCCGGGAGGAAGTCCGGGCCGGGCGCCAAGAGCAGTACAATGCGACGGGCGGTGCTTCCAGGCCCCCATGGCTCCGCAGGGCCTCGTTGCAGGCTCCGGGCCGTCAAGAGAAGAATTGCAGGGTTGAAAAGCCTGCCACGCTCGATCTACTTGTCTCCCGTCTCCTCCTCCTCCTCCTCATCATTATCCTCCTCCTCCTCCTCCTCCTCCTCCTCCTCATCCTCCTCCTCCTCCTCCTCCTCCTCCTCCTCCTCCTCCTCCTCCTCCTCCTCCTCCTCCTCACCCCCCTTCTGGTATTCATGGGGTCGGGAGGTCTGGGTGCCGACGCTTCGCCGCCGTCCGAGGACCCCTAATTACAGGCAGCGGACACTCGAAGGGAGGAGGGAGCGCCAGAGGGGGGGAACCGAGAAGAACAGAGTACCGAGCCACCGCGCAAGCATCAAACCTTTTTGTTGGGATGTCCGCAGAGATTTCTTGGTCGGCGCTGATCCACCTCCCCACCCCGCTGGCGGCACATCCCCCGCCCCCCAGAGCGCCCTGCGCGCCGGGGAAGTATGGGGTCAGCACAGACCCAGGAGATACGCGAAGACCTCCGAAAGGTTCTCGTGTCGTCACTGGGCGTTCGCATGAAAAAGGCGGAGGAAGAGGCAACGTGAACCCCAGGAGGTCTGCACCCCACCCCTCCTCCTAGAGCGGTTTTCATCAAGATACGCTTTCAGACGGACCCAGTTCAAGGGCCACTGAATGCCAAAAACGGCGGAGAATCTTCCGCCGCGACTTGTTCACGACGCGAGGGAGTCTGGGGACGAGGACGAGTTGGAATGAACGCATTAATAGTTAGTGCGATGGTGGTACGGCAGGTTGGTGTCGTGCCCACTTCGGCGTTGGTTCCCGACACCCCTGGGATCGTTCAACCTTGAACGATCGGCCGTTTCCGAAACGTCAGAGCGTTCAACATCGACCGATTCTGGCTCGCTGGCGGCGTTCCACGTTGAACGCCAGCGGCGGGGTCGCCGCCAGTCGACACGATGCGAACCCACCGCAACTGCGGTCTGCACGCGCAGTTACGAGCTGCCCAAGCATGCCTCACCATCATGCTGCACCCCACGTGGTGGTTGGCCGGCCGTGCTGACAGGCGGTGCGCGCCGGACCCCTGCCTCGCGCCCCGCCATCTGGGATCACGACATGGTGGCCAGGATCTGCGGGATCAGCCTTTCCTGTTTCGAACTGTTGCGGAGGAAACTAAGAAGGCACCGATACCGCTACTCCCCAGGCCTCCCCTGGGGTGCGCTCTGACCAGGATTCCGAAGCGAATCCGGCGGTGGTGACCAGGGCCGCCCAGGAGGCCCAAACAGGGGAAAACGAGCGAAGGGTAGAGGTATGGGGAACTGTTCCTCCTCTGAGCTGCTGCACACCGGCTGCACGGTCAGGAATGCTTGAACAGCGCGTTACGGCGGCGGCCCCAGCGGCACGCCATGCGCTGCAGGCGGACGGCGTGCCGCTCCGCGGTTCTGCGGGGCGGGAGGCCGGGAAGGGCCCGGGCGTTGACGCCTTGGAGTGGGGACGCGGGTGGCGTGTCGCGCCGAAGCGTGGTGGGCCAGGACGGGCGGAGCGACGCGCTGGGCCAAGCTTCCTGACCGTAGCCGCCAACGCCGCAGCACACAGTCTTCGAGCAAAACATCGACAGCTGTTGCTTCGCCGAACTGCTACTCCGCCGAGGCCAGCCCCATAAGACGTAGAATGTTCCGTAGATCTGCAGATCTACAGAGCATGCACTTTTTCCGTAGACTGGACGAACAAATCAATTTGGGGTGAAGCATTTATGTAGTCGATCTCCTACTCGAACGCCAGGCCACAGATCCTGACCGCAACCACCAGCGCCGCAGCCACCATTCCGTGCATTCGAGACGAGACCCCGCCCCTCCTGGGGGCATCGACGGGCCAGCCGAACCACTGGCCGTAGAAGCGCGCGAACCTGAGGACCTCGGGAGGGCGTCCCGCGGACTGGGGCCGCCACGTCCACGGCACAGGCCCCACCCCGATCGATCGGCTTGCCAGCGGGACGCCTTCCGAGTAGGACATCCACTGCAGAGTTGATTCCTCCCGGACTGTGTGTTCGTCGACTCTTCAAACTACAAATGCGCAGAATGCTCCGTACATCTACGGAGCGTTCTGCGTCTTTCCTCTCAGATTCGACGAGAAAATCCATTCGGGGTCAATCAGTTCTTTGGTCGATCTCCTACGGGAATCTTGCTCGTCATGCGGCCGGCTGGCCAACAGCGGGCTGGCCCATGCCGATATCCAGAACCCTCCAAACCAGAAATAGAAGAAACTGCATAAGCATGAACTTTCGGAGCTCCGAGCAGACTTCTTGAATCTGCGCTGGACCCCCCTCTCGTGCTCGGGGAGCGCGCCAGGGGCGGCGCTGGAGACGCCGCCAGGAGGGCCCAGCACCGATCCGAGAAGTCCGTGCGGAGCGCCGAAAGTTTGTATCCGTGGTGCGTTTCCTTCTTCGAAAGATCTGGAGCCCCCCTGAGGGGCAACGATGAGGGGGGATAGGCATAGGGGGGAAAAGACATCGACCTGGAATCGGCGATACATCACCCGATGGATCGGCGATGGGCCCCCGATCACGAATCCGCACGCTCCTGGGCAGGCTGGGGCTGTCGGGCGATCCAATCGGCGATCCATGGGCGAGGGGGGGGGGTCGATGCGTCCCCCCCTGGGCTGACCACCTACCAGACCACCCCAACCCAACCCGAAGACCCGAATTTCGGGTTGGGGGGGGGGTAAGGGTTCCGCACGTGTTTTTGTCGATGTGTCCCGACCACCCCCCCCCACTGGAAATCGAGGGCAAATCTGAGCCTTCGGGTTGGGTTGGGGTGGTTTGGTGGGTGGTGAATGGGCCTCTCCGCCCCCGGCTTTGCCTCAGGGCGCCACACCATCCTCTTAAGCCTCGGCCCCCGGGCCCGGAGCCTCGAGAGCCCTCGGCCGGCCGAGGCCGCCGACAGGACGACCGCGGGCGGGCGGCGGCAGGACGGGCGGCGGACGGGGTCGGCAGGCCGCTCGGCGGGCCGATCGGGGACTCCCTCTGGGCGCGGGGCCGTCGAGGCGCCCCCGGAGAGGCCGTTCTTCGCATCCTCGCGCTGACCGAGCCGAGCGCCCCGAGCCCAGACTTCCGACGTCTGGCAAGCAAGAGCCCCCCCCCGGGCAGGCAGGACGGCACGAGGGCAGAGACTGCGCAGAGAAGGGTAAGGTGACCATGCGGCCACCCTTCGGCCTCTGTTCCCTGTTTGGGCCTCCCGGGAGGCCCTCGTCACCACCGCTGGATTCGCCTCGAAATTCGAATCAGAACGCACCCCGGAAAGGTCCAGGGGGTAGCGGTATCGGTACCTTTTGGTTTCCCCAACTGCGGTCAGCAATGTTTGGTTTCAGTCGGCATTGTGTGTGATTACGGCAGGATTTTGACACCGTTTTTCGACCTCGGGAGACTTGCTGGGCCCCAGGACCGTAAACAAACTTTCAGGATGAATAACCGGTTCCTGGGAAGCGGTCGTCTGGGAGTGCACATGTCGAATTGGCCTGGCAGAGGATCCAACCATATGAAATTGCGACGAAGGTTGTTGAGTGCATCGTCCTCGGTGGAACTGCCCATGGGTCCAAGAAACGTGTGAGGTGTGTACCAACATGTGTGGGGCGGCCGCATGTGGACGGTGCCACTGTGGTGCGACGAGACGAATAAGAGGAGTGCCGAAATGGGCGAGGGAGGCCGCATATAGACGGTGCCACTGGGGTCTTCGGTGGAGCTCTATGTCAGACCTCGACCAGTGTGAGGGGTGCACCGACATGGGCGGCGTCACGCATGAGAATCCTGCCAACGAGGCCTTCGGATGGGGCCACGAAACGTGTGAGAGGTGTGCCGAAATCGGTTTGGTCACGCATGCGAGCCCTGCCACGGGGGCCGTCGGTAGAGCTCACGAGTAGGCCACGGAACATGCTGATGATAGTGGCAACGATGGGGATGTGGTGATGACGGTGGTGATCCCCGGCGCCGTGACGTCACCAGCAACTCCACCTGCGTCAACGGCTTCGCCCAAATCGACGCTGTGGCATCCCGGTCCGGGTAGGGGCCGCCTTGACACTTGCGCGGGCATTCCAACGCCTCTGGCCACAACGTGACATGGGGTGACTTCGTCGGCGTTCTTGGGGCAGCAGATTGCGACGTGGCCCTTGTCGCGGCATGTCTAACACTTCCTCTCGCTGACCGGCGCAAATTCCCAATTGCCTCCGCCATTCCCGCATGGGGATTGGTTCCCTCGGCAGGGTGTGCCTTGGCATTCCCCCTGTATCCTCCTGCATACACCTTCTGGTAGCCCTCGACTCCAGCGCACATTCTCCTTCCACCGCCTATTCCTGTCGCGTTGCCTTTAGTGGCGCAGCCTTTTTGGCAATGTGCCCACAGCTTCAGCACTTGCGACACATGGACCCCATACCTCCGTCATTCCCTCTGCCTACCTCATTCGCACCGCCAATCGCGCCGATGTCTTCCACAGCCGATGTCCAGCAGCTTCCGCATTCGTTCACGCCTGCGCCCCACTCGCCAATATCTGCATCGTTAATTGGGCCGCTATCCATGGAGTCGCTTTGTTTGGTTGCACCAGCGGCAACTATGTTCTGGCTTGTCCAATCTTCGCACTTAGCGAAGAGTGTTCGGTAGGTTTCAAGATTCAACGACGCTGGCGTCTTCCAGCAATATTGTCGCCAGTCGTCGAACCAATCACCCGCATAATTCATGATTCTTCTCAGCACAATAACCTTGACTTGCACTGGAAACGAGTACGCAGACCCATGCGTCTCCACAGACTGCACCAACGCACCCCGCTTCCTGAACTGTTCCGCAACATTGTTCACCTTCTTGGGTCTTTCAGGGTTCATTGCCAGGTCAAGTTTGCCAGGAAGTGTGCCCACTGCATCGGCAGAGTGACATTTGCTCATCTTCTGGCAAGCCATTACACCGTCACCTTCGTAAAGAACTGTGAGCTTTCCGCAGGGCTCCGTCCCCTCCTACGTATCGATTAACAGATATCCGAGGTCCTCGTCCAACTCGGCGCGGTCTTCCTCGTCCACCTCATATTCCCATTTCGCGTCGTCTCTTTCCGTGGTACGTGGCGCCTTGGTATATCCGCTGAGCCTTCACCTCGAACTCACGGTTGTATAAGACCATCCTCTTCGTCACCTGGTAGTGTCTCATCCATAGTATGGGCCTTGTTGTTCAGAAAATTCAAAGCTTCCCAGCGGTCATGCTTTACTTGGGCGACGAATTCGACAGTTCTTCGCACCATACCCAACAAATGGTCCTGCCGCCCGAGAACGTCTTGAACTGCCGAACCGCCTTGCACTCGCTCACGGGCTTGCTCCCGCCTCCGTCGGACCCGGTCCTTGCCGCAGACTGCCAGGCTTCCGCGATCTTGGCAACATTCCACGAGGCGTTCGCTTGACGTCGGGATTCAGTGCTAACGTGTTCTTTCAGGCTGTTGAGCTGTTCCTCGCGGTAGATGTCGCAAACGATGACCGATATCAAGAGGGGACGCATCTTGCAGGTCATCTGGAACATGATGAACGGCTGGTCGTTGTCTACTCTTCCGATGCCTCTCGTAACGTTGCGTTCGGAGCACAACTGCTTCACTTCATGATTGGCCTTGAACGCCGTGTTAACCTACCTGGAACCTCTGTTCTCGCAACTGGCATTGCACAGTTCCGCGAATCTGTTCGTGTTCAGGTTGCACCACGCCTCTCGGACCTCGGGCAACGTCACGTCGAAACCTGGGTCAGCTGTGCAAGGATTCGGCGGGGCCGTCGCGGCTGACGCCGCGGCCATCGCAAGGAAGCGACCGTTTCGCGGAGTGGGCCGCACGCACTGGATTCGGTTGGGCGAAACGCGGGCTCCGCTGCAATGATAATATGGATTGAGGATAACAATACTTGAGCCAAACCCCGTCGGCGGGAGCAAATTGAGTTCCCAGGAATCCTAGCATCAGCCTGCTGCCTAACTGCTGAACTAGCGCACCTTTCTCACCCTGTCATGACGCTGTCTACAAACACCTCCTCCTCCTCCCCCTCCCCCTCCTTCTCCTCCTCCTCCCTCCTCCTCCTCCTCCTCCCTCCTCCTCCTCCTCCCTTCTCCCCCTCCTCCTCCTCCTCCTCCTCCTCCTCCTCCTCCTCCTCGTCTTCTTCTTGTTATTATTATGATTATTATTCTTCTTATTCTTCTTCTTATTATTCTTGCTCTTCTTCTTAGTCTTAGTATTATTCTTACTATTATTCTTATTCTTCTTATTCTGTTTCTTATTATTCTTCTTCTTATAATTATTATTATGATTATTATTCTTCTTCTGCTTCTTCTTCTTCTTCTTCCTCCTCCTCCTCCTCCTCCTCCTC